AAGATTTTATTTATTTATTTGACAGACAGAGATCACAAGTAGGCAGAGAGGCAGGCAGAGAGAGAGAGAGGAGGAAGCAGGCTCCCTGCAGAGCAGAGAGCCCGATGCGGGGCTCGATTCCAGGACTCTGGGATCATGACCTGGGCCGAAGGCAGAAGCTTTAACCCACTGAGCCACCCAGGCGCCCCTGATTGATAATATTCTTGAGTCCTTTTAGTTCCTTTAAGATTTATTTATTTGTTTAATTTTTTTAAAAAGATTTGTTTATTTAGTTTAGAGAGGGAAGTAGAGAAGAGAGTGCATGAGCACAGAGCCCTATGAGGGACTCAATCCCACGACCCCAAGACCATGACCTGAGCTGAAATCAACAGTTGGTCACTTAACCAACTGAGCCATCCAGGAGCCCCCATCTATTTATTTTAAGGAGAGAGATCAAGAGAGTATGAATGGGGGGAGGGGCAGAAGGACAGAGAGAGAGATTCTCAAGCAGACTTTGTGCTGAGCTCAGAACCCACTGTGGGGCTCAATTTGATGACCCTGAAATCATGACTTAGAGCCAAAATCAAGTCAGACGTTTAACTGACTGAGCCATCCAGGCTCTTTAAGTCTTCTATATTTTTATTGTATTTTTTTTGTCTATTTGTTTTATTAGTTATTGAAAGAGGGTGCTGACAACTCCAACTATAATTGTGGTTGTGTCTATTTCTCTTAGAAGTTCTTTTTTGTTTTGTTTTGTTTTTTTAGTGGACACTCTGTATGTACTATTAATTTGCTTACATAAAGTTCAAAACCATTTCCTCCTCTGTCATTCATTTTTTTTTTCTTTTTCAAGTTTTTATTTAAATTCCAGTTAGTTAGCTTAGTCATTAAGCATCTGCCTTCAGCTCAGGTTGTGATCCCAGGGTCCTGGGATGGAGCCACACATCGGGCTCCCTGCTCAACAGGGAGCCTGCTTCTCCCTCTCCCGCTCCCCCTGCTTGTGTTCCCTCTCTTGCTGTGTCTCTCTGTCAAGTTAAAAAAAATACCAAATAAAAAATAAATAAATTCCAGTTAGCATACAGTGCAATTTTGTTTCAGGTGTAGAATTTAATGATTCATCATTTACATACAATACCTAGTGCTTATCACAAGTGCCTTCCCTAATAACCACCACCCATTTAACTCATCCCCCTGCCCACCTCCCCTCCAATAACTCTAAACTTGTTCTCTATAGTTAAGAGTCTGTTTTATGGTTTGCCTCTTTTTTTTTTTTTTTTTTTTTTTTGGTCAGAGAGAGAGGGAGAGAGAGCAAGCACAGGCAGACAGAATGGCAGGCAGAGACAGAGGGAGAAGCAGGCTCCCTGCCAAGCAAGGAGCCTGATGTGGGACTCGATCCCAGGACGCTGGGATCATGACCTGAGCCGAAGGCAGCCGCCTAACCAACTGAGCCACCCAGGTGTCCCTGGTTTGCCTCTTTTTTTCCCCCTCTAGGTTCATCTGTTTTGTTACATTTCATGTAAGAGTGAAACTATATGGAATTTGTCTTTCTCTGACTGCTTCACATAGCATAATACTTTCTAGCTCCAACTACATTATTGAAAATGGCAAGATTTCATTGTTTTTTTATGGCTGAGTAATATTATATTTTGTGTGTATATATACACATATATATACACCAACTCTTCTTTTTCCATTCTTCAGGTGATGGACATTTGGGCTCTTTCCATAATTTGGCTATCATTGATAATGCTGCCATAAACATTGGGGTGCATGTACCCCTTTGAATCAGTATCTTCATATACTTTGGGTAAATACCTAGTAGTTTAATTGCTGGGACATAGGATAACTCTAT